TTGATGGAAGCTCTCACAAACTGAGTACCTTAGACTCAGTCAGCTGTTCCCTGCCGACTGTGTTAGCTTAAATGAGCCAAGAGTCCATGATTTCAGGCCATTTCAGGTCGAGGAGATAGGTGATGTATGGAATACCCTTTAGAGATAGATTGTCACTAAATTTGAGGTGGGGTCGCCTGCCATCTGGTTTTACAAAACTTACTTTGTTCAGAGGTCAAGTCATTTAATATTTTAAAGTTTTTAAAAAATATTAGAAGTGATAAAAGGCCTAAAAGTGATAGCAAAACTTAATGGGGAAAAAAATCATCTGCTGTAATAGAATCTTTTTGTTGTTATGGCTTAATTGAGGTATAATTTATATATCATAAATTCCATCCATTTTAAAGTTTTAAATGATTTAAAGTATTTCAGTGACTTTCAGCAGATTGATGGATTTGTGCAACCATCACTACCATCAAGTTTTTTAATATTTCCATCACCCAGAAAACTCCCCATGACTGATTCTGGTCTATCCAATTCCCATGCTGAGCCCCAAGAAACCGCCAGCCTGCTCTCTGTCTCTGCAGATCCTCCTGCTCTGGATGTTTCGAGAAATGGAATCATGCGATGTGTAGCCTTTTACACCTGGCCTCTGTCCGTAGGTGTGATGTTTCTGGCGCTCCTCTGTGTTGTAGCACGTGGCAGTATTTGGTTCCCTTTCACCGCTGAGCAGTGTTCCACCGTGTGGACAGGCCACATCCCGTGCACACTTTCTGCAGTATATTCTCTTAGTGTCCTGACGGCATTCCTTTCATCCGCCTGCCTCCTGAGCTCCTTGCCTGCTCTCCCCATGGAACGCGGTCTGCCCCGGGAACCAGGATTAGTCTGGGCTGCCTGGATTTGGTCCTTGAGGCTCTAACCTGGGCACTTTGCACTCCCTCCCTCCCTCCTCTGACTCCAAACTCCGGTCCCTAGGTCTGGGAGTGAGCCTTATTACATAACATGAAGAGGTTATGACTGTGATATCCAGCTTATTGGCTTGAGGATTTTGATCTTAGGAACCATTGCAGAATTTGAAATGTCCCGTGAGGAACAGAAATGGGATAGAGGAGAAGATTTCTGTGGTAATTATGAGCTCAGCCTAAGAGTGCTATGTCTCAACCTACCGTAATTTGTAGTCATCTCATAAAAAGAAATAAAGAAATGTATCATAAACTCATTGTAGAAAATACTGAAAGCACATAGAAAAAATAATAAGTCAATGGTGGTTCAGTCCCAGAGTCCAACAGATTGATATATGTCATTTTAGACTTAATTTATATGCAAATATATTCAGCGTTGGGTTTTTTTTTTTAAGTTGAGTTTCTATGAAAGCCATGTTTCCCGATGTCATTAAATAGTGTTGAAAATTTGAACGTGATTATGATGAGAACGATACAAGGAGAAACATGGAAGGGAGAGTGTTCAGAAAGCCAGGTGGTGTCACTCATGGTTTTCATTGACGTCACTGTAAGGAATTAGGGATTTACTCTAAGTGTAAGGCAAAGCATTAGACTCTTTGATATGCTTTACATTTTAAAACTACACTCTGGCCACAGGATGGAGAATCCACTGAGGGGTCAAGAAAGGGAAGAGGTCGATTGGTTAAGAGGCTCAGCTAGAGATGATGCCCTTGAACTAGGGCAGTGGTTCAGAATGATGGGAAGAGGCTAGATTGATGGCGTACTCTGAAAGAGAGGCGAGTGGAACTTGTCAGTGCACCGGATGTGCCGAGAGGAGAAGCTGAGAATCAGGAGTGACTCCGCTCCCGTCCCAGCCCTGTGAGTGTAGGCCTGTGTGCCTCCCACCTGGCCTTTGCCAGAGCAGGCGGGGGCAGAACCACCTTCTTCTGTGCTGTCTGGCTGAAGTGGAGCCGCTAATGTCTGAAAGTTTTCCATTTTGGGGGGCTGCCCCTTTCCTTGTCTGTCCTGTGAGTGGAGAGAGCAGGCTTTTGTTACCATGTTGGGTTGATTGAGTTTCTTAGTCTATGTCCATTGGCATTTCTGGTTGGCCAGTTTCTTCCAGCAAGAAGAAAATCCAGCATATTCGACCACCATTGTCATTCCTTGGGTCCCAAGGTTCCTAACCCATCTATCGTCTTTCCACTGTTCAGTCTTTTACATACAGCGTCCAGAGATTTATTTTATATACAGCGTCCAGAGGTTTTAGTTGTACTTGGCAGGAGGAATAGGGGAAAATACACCTCCTCCATCTCCCAGAAAAGGAAAGTTTTCTGATTTTTTTTTTGTTTGAAAGTTTCTAGTGTTCTAATACAATGTTTTCCCAGCACCTCTGTGCTGTGATGAGCTTGAATTGCTCCCTTTTGGAAGACATTTAAAGTAAGATCAGTCAACCAGTTACCAACTTCTGTGTGATAAAATTTCAGCATAACTCACATAATTTTAGTAACATAATATTGTCTTATTTTGGCATGAGGTTTTTAAGAGTATTCTGTTAAAATGAATATCTAGATCATTTTCTTCCCAGAAGGGCTTTATAGAATAAGAAATGTCATCATTTTCATTTTTAAATAGATAATTATCTGTGATTTATGTCCACTGTGGCTACTGAAGTTGGAAAATAGCTTTGTGAAATCTGCATAATTAAGTGGTAGATAAGATCTATATCAGATCCATTCCATGTTAAAAAATATACCAAAACACACACACACATAAACTTAAGTGGGAAAGAAGTCCAGGCCCAATATTCTGTGGACAGAAAAAAATATTATTTTTACAGTGAAAACAAACTTTTCAAAAATCTTGCCTTAATGATAGTATTTGTCTAGCAATTAAAGATCTAATTTTATTGTTTTCTTTTTAGGTCAGAAGCCTACCCTAGTCCAGTACCAGATTTCAAACTTAACTAGTTCTAATTCTTATTTTTTAATTAGCCAGTTCTTTTTTTCTATTTCAAATTTACTTTATAAGATTAACCAGTTAATCTAGAGAAAGAGTCTAAATAAGAATGCCCTAACCAGTGCCATTCCAAAGAAAATATTATCAAACTATAAATCTTCATAACTGGAGATTCTTACTTAAAAGCTTATGAGACCAAAAATAAATAAACTAAATCTGCTTAGAGTAGAGGCTCTTCTTTTCTGGCCTGAGGGCCCTTACCCATTATCAGCAGTTACCTGTCAGCACCCTGAAGCTTTGCCTCGGATGGTGTAGGGCCAGCAACTTGACATTTGGGGGGATGCCCACCTGTTGGACCAGAGTTACTGGGGGAGTGGGAGAGTGGACTGCAAGCCTCTTTTCCCCTTTTCCTTAGTCTCCACGCCCCTCCAGGTGATTGCCCTATTTTACATTCATCCAGCAGTCACTTTCCCAGATACTCTAAGACAAGTTCCCTGGGGCCTGCCCTGGCGGCCATGCTTGCAAAGCAGCTTGTTGAAGGGTGTAAGTCTCAGTTCAGTTCAGTCGTGTCCGACTCTGCGACCCCATGGACTGCAGCACGCCAGGCCTCCCTGTCCATCACCAACTCCCGGAGCTTGCTCAAACTCATGTCCATCGAGTCAGTGATGCCATCCAACCATCTCATCCTCTGCCGTCCCCTTCTCCTCCTGGCCTCAATCTTTCCCAGCATCAGGGTCTTTTCCAATGAGTCAGTTCTTCACATTAGGTGGCCAAAGTATTGGAGTTTCAGCTTCAGCATCAGTCCTTCCAATGGACAATCAGGATTGATTTCCTTTAGGATGGACTGGTTGGATCTTGTTGCAGTCCAAGGGACTCTCAAGAGTCTTCTCCAACACCACAGTTCAAAAAACATCAATTCTTCAGTGCTCAGCTTTCTTTATGGTCCAACTCTGGTCCAACCCTGGTCCAACCCTGGGATTGAACCCAGGTTTCCCACATTGCAGGTGGATTCTTTACCAGCTGAGCCACCAGGGAAGCCAGGTATAAGTTTATTATGAAGTTAGATTCTTAAGTGTAACTCTGATAGGCCTTAGTAAATAAGTAACTTGCCAGTGTCCTCCGAAGCTTAGCTTGGCATTCACTGTGGGAAACCTTTGCTTTATTGCACATTTGTCAGATCTATATCCTCAATTTCTTTACATATTTGCAAATTTATCATCAAGCCATGGACAATGTGGTATGGTGCTTAAAAAGAAAAACTGAATATTTACTATTGCTGATAGATGAGAGCTGGGATTGAGTAATTTTAATAGTGTTCTTTTTCCAAAAGTCTGGCACATAATGGTTTTGACTCAGATTGAGAGATGTGTCCTTTTTGTTTTGTTTAGACATTTTGACTAAAACTTTCACTTCACTGAATTTGAGTTTGACTAACATTTTCCTTTCTTTCCCTGTGGCCTGTAGTTTTGTCAAAGTATGGAATGTCATGCTCTAAAATACCATATTACTGAATCTGCGGACATCTTGGGGAGTCTGTGGCTCTTATTCAGAGGATATAAGAATTACAAGGGGAAAGTTATATTTATTTTTGTAGAAGCCAGATGTTTAAACTCAGTTTCTAGTGGTGACAAAGACACAGGCACTGCTAATACCAGTCAGCTTCATATCAAATTATAGTTGTTGGAGCTATCTCAAAATATTATGTACTTTCATTACTACTTCTGCAACAAATTCATTGGTTTTAACCTTTTTATATCTATTTAAAGAGCATTAGTATCCTTTGTAATTCTGTGTAGTTTGTGTATGCAGTTGGCCCTTGAACAGCATGGATTTGAGCTGCATGGGTCCAGTTATATGTGGATTTTTTTTAGAGAGTAAATGCTGCAGGACTACATGATCTGTGGTTGGCCGAGGGCAAAGAGACCTAACCACAGATACTTAGGGACCTAGGATGCTCAGGGCCAACTATAAAGTTATACATCGATTTTCAGCTGCTCAGAAGCTTGGCACACCTAATCCCTGAGTTGTCAGGGATCACCTGTACATTTAGAAACGCTAGAGGAGTCTTACGCTTTTCCTCTTGTGTGTTCTATCTGCCTGTAACATGTTCCTTTTCTCCTGTAGCATCAGCCACTACGTGATTGTCATGTCCATGACCATCTTTATGGTGTTTCTCAACTGCCTGGCTCAGGTACTCACGACAAAGAAACTCAGTCTGTGCGGCAGACCCAAAAGCCACATCATATAATGTTGCCAAAGCCGCCATTCAGCATCCAGGGGCTGTTTCTCATTCTCCTTTTCAACTAAAATCTTGCCAAGGATTCATTAAGAAGATGGAAGTCAACGTATAACACCTGTGCATACAAGGAAATTACATGTGGAATTCTGAATTTACAGGTTATCTGGAATAAAAGAGCTTCCATTTTCTTGAGGTTTGGCATGCGTGAAGTAGTGGTTACACCTGTGGAAAAGCCTCGTGAGGCATTCTCCATTTTCATTTTTCCCTCTGGTTGGAAACTCTTCTTCTCACTGATGTTTCAGAGCAACTGTAACAGTCTCTGCCCGCACTGTACAGCTTCCCGTGTTTTGTGCTCCTGAGGGGGCAGTGCTGAGCACGTCCACCGTCACTGCACTAGCTGAACTTGAAGGAAATCACCAGCTGGCCCATAAATACTGATCAGCTCTCAGCACTGGTTTTGCAAGTAGTTCTAACGACTAAACAGCACTAGAAAAACAATCAGGATGTGGAGAAAAATGTTTGCAGGTGTTTTTTTAATTGTAAGACTTAATAACCGTTAATTTCCATAGCTTTTATCATGCATTGTTCCAACAGAAATCTTTAATTGATTGATTTATTTTGGGGGTGCACCGCACAGCATGCAGGATCTCCCTCAACCAGGGGTTGAACCTGTGCCCCATGCACTGGAAGTGTGGAGTCTTAACCCCTGTACCTCCAGGGAAAAGTCCCCGACAGAATTTTTTAAATCAGTGGTTAAACTTGCTGGCACTGTCATAAGAATCCATGTTAAAACTGCTTTTCTTTTGGGTTGTGTGACTCTGGCCCACACACCCAAAATCTTCTTATTAAATTTTAATTTCTATTTATAAACGAATTGTAATGGACAAAACATCTTGAGAGTAATTTTTATTTGGATTTTTCATGAAGTGACCTTTACATATCACTGTGGAGTTGGATGTTTGCCCATGATGTGCCAGGAGAGTTTGGCTGATGCTAGGCTTTCTTGGTCTGAGTCCCATTAAAAAAAAAAACATAATTGATTTTAAATTAAGTTGTAGCATCACTAATTCACATTAATGATGAGAAAAAGCCCTCTACAGATGAGTAGATTTTTCAAATTGGCAGGTGAGTGAAGAAATATAATTTAGGAGATTCAAAAATCAGCTTGGCAAAATGTGCTTTCTTAATGCCTATTTGTGATGAAGTATAAATAGTATTGTATTGTGATAGTATTTCATGGTATAACAGCAAAAGCATACAGTAGTACAAAAAAAAAAAGATGTGCTGATGTCAGTATAAGATGTCATGCCAGTCTGTGTACAGAATCGAGGTGGACAGTGAGAAAGCTGCTGTAGCTGGGACCGTGTTGGCAGATGGAGAACGCATGAACCTCCGCAGCGCCTCAAAGGGTGTTTGATCAGTCTTTTCACAAGTCAGAGAAAGCTGACTTTATAAACACATCGTTATTTTTCCTTTTATATCTAGTTCTGCCTTGCATCTTTTTCCCGAGTTTCACACTAAGGAATTACTGAATATTTTATTACAACATGGTAAAAGGTGCTCTGTGCTTTATCTTTATTTTGATTTTTGAAGCATGTCTTTTTAATATTATTTCGAGTCAGTGTGAATTTACACAACAGGGGTCACCCCTGCAGCCGTGGGCCAGCCTTGCGGTACCAAGATGGGACCGCTCAGACTCATCTGGGGACAGAGTTTGCAGGATGGGCCTTTTCTATTGCACAGCTTATCAAAATATCTTGAAGTATTTTGAAATGCATATTTTTATATTGACTAACAGAAAAATAAAGTGTAAGTGAAATGTATTTGTCCTACCGTGTCATTCTGGCTTCCCCTCTCTCCCGGGACGTGGGGTATCCTGTTCAGGTGGGCTGTGCTTTCCTGTCAATGGTTGTTCAACAGCTAGTTGTGATTTTGGTGCTCTGGCAGGAGAAGGTGAGGCCTCATCTTTCTACTCCACCCTGGGCTTTTAATTTTGTAAATTGTATTTCTGTTTAAGATATTTAATTACTTTTTCATCCTAACTATGGATACCAGATTTTCAAGTCAAAACTTAAGGCATTTGCTGATTTATACGTGTTTAAATTAGGAATGCTGTAAGAATTAAGGTGGGGATATCAGGTTGGGAAAATATTGAGCAGCAACAATGACCAAAAAACATTGTCTCATGGAGCATGAATAAATCTTGGAGGAAACTCTTAAGGATTTAGGAAACTGTTTGCAGCCTGTCTGTAATTTACTAATGCTTGCATTCTGTGTACCATTTTATTTAATTGCTATATTCAGAACACAAAATGCTTTTTTTTATTTTTTAGGGAAATAATAAGTAGTAGTTTGAAAGTGTTAGTCACTCAGTCGTGTCTGACTCTTTGCAACCCCATGGCCCGCCAGGCTCTTCTGTCCATGGGACTCTCCAGCAAGAACACTGGAGTGGGTTGCCATGCGCTCCTCCAGGGGACCTTCCCAACCAGGCATATTCTCACGATAATCCCCTCAGATGATTGAACCATGATAGAGCTGAACTGCACACCTAGAAAATCCACCCACCACTCACTGTTTCTCAGGACAAACTGGCCCCAGGTTTCTCCAGCCCAGATGTGAGGACATGCACGTGTCCCGCCCGCCACCTCCACTCCTGTGGTGGCCGGGGACGTGTGTGCCCCTCCACCTTCTGACCCACCACTGGGCCCTCAAAGACGTCCTTTCTGATGGAGCTGGCGGAGGTGAACGGAGCAGTGCATTGCGTGGGGCTTGTCTCGAGACGGCGGCCGAGCAGCGGGCCCTGGTGCTCTCCGGGGAGAACCGAGGGAGCTGGACACGCACTGGATGCCCTTTGGCAGGAGGGCTGACCGCCCCAGAGGACGGTGAGCCGACCCCGCTCAGTTGTTTGGAGAGGGTCCCCTTCAAGCAGCTCTGCGAGCCCCTTTAAGGGACCGGAGACGGCTTGGCAACTTCTCAGCCTTTCAGAGTCCTTTTTATATCGGCATTCTCTGCATCTGTAGAATGTTACAGAATGGGATTGCTAGGGTGGGTGCTTTCAACACTATGGTAATGTTAATATCTTGCAGCGTTTTCCCATTTCTGAATGAGCGTGGTTTGTTTAAAAAAAAAAAAAGGTGGACGGGATTTCTGCTCTTAATACTCATTCTATAGAAAGAATGTTTCGGAACTAATGTGTCTTTTATTAATTTCCTTGGAGACACTAATACAGGTCATTCATTGTCAAGTCATCACCCTGAGCACTGGAGTATTTTCCACACAGCAGTGTTTCTCAAAGTATGTCCCTTGGCACGTGAGTTTCTGAGGACACAAATGGGTACCATAGTGAGAGAACGCTCCCTGACCACATACACTTGGAAATAAGTCAAATGCTGGCTGCGCCAAGGGCAGGAAGGCCCACAGATATGATCTACAGAGAAAAGGTCTGACAATTGAAAATGAAGATATTAGCTATCTACTGCTGCATGGCAAACTACCTCAAACTTACCAGCTTAAAACAACACACATTTCACCGTTGCTATGGGTCCAAAACTGGGGAATTTAACTTGATGAATGCATTGTGAAGGGAAAAGATAGCAGTATGCCCCAAATTGCCACTTGCTTGACTGCACACCCAACCTCCAAGTCCCCCTTCAGCCTAGTACACATACTTCAGAAATGTCCCTACATACTTCTGTGTTTAAAAAACCTCAGTTTATCACACTGTTTAAAAATATAGTGTCATATACTTAATCAAGTCTTTGTTTTTTCTGAGAGCTCGAAAAACATTTTCATTTTCACTTTGGGAAAACTTTAGAAAGCACTAGCAATTTTACCTGCCTCTGCATGAGCCGTGTAACCTTTGACTGGTAACCTTCAGCAGTAAGGCATGGACATCCAGTCAGCTAGAAATTGAACCAAGCCTCTATACACCATAGGTTAGGTCCTTTACCAGAAAAATAAATTCATGACAAGCACTGACATGTTTTCTTGTGACTTACCACTAGAGAAGGTGATTACTAGTTAAATTTTTGTGCATTCCCTGGCTTTTTATTTTACTTAATTCTCTCTTCTCACGTCACTCCTCTCCCCGCCCTTAGTTATGTTAGAACCCAGTGTTTTTCTTCATGAATGTGCTTTTCTTTATGAATTAGTTTCCATTTGTTATTTTTAAAAACTTTTTATTTTAGAGTTGACTATAATTCCCATCGGTTCTTAAATTCAATATGCAGTGTGATTGCGTGGCGCTCAGCTGGGCCATCTCCGTGGCATGCTCTTTCTTCTGCGGTAACTGCCTCCATTGCTAACCACATGTCTCTAGCAGGTGACGTGGTTTTTAGTGACTTCCCTCACCACAGTTGACTAGGGGTACACATTTGACCCAAGCCAGGCCAATCTGAGTTCTGGGCAAGATATTCAAGCTAGAACAAAGAGACACTAAGATTCAAAATTCAGGAGTCATTGATGGCTAAGTGAGATCCTCCAGTAACCTTCCAACGAGTAACTTTCCACTACATCTTTATACAATAAAAAGAGGGATTGATTTTACTGGTATTTCTGAGAACACTGTGGATAATGACGAGTCCAAAGTTTATTTGTGTGTGTGTGTGTGTGTGTGTGTGTGTGTGTGTGTGTGCTCAGTCGTATATACTTGTTTATTTATGCATTCCAAACTGGGGTCAATGGGTCAGAACGGTTCAGCAGTGTCCTTGCAGGCCCTTTGGCTGCCTCCTCTGCCACTCAGCTTCCCTTGGTTCCAGCCATTTTTTAACCCTTCCTAATTATTCTACAAGCCATTCATTTCCTTAAAATTTTTATCTGAATCTTTTACTTTCACAACCCAAGAACTTTAATTGATATGCATTCTTTAAATGTATTTGTAAGTACCTCTTCAATGCTTAGTGTGGTTTCTAATTACAGCTTTTTAAAATATTGTGATAAAACTTATACAGCCTTTATAATATGCCAGGCATTGTTTTAAATCCTTTACAAATACTACCTTTTTGATACTCATAACAACCCCGTGAAAGAGGTATTATTATTATACTATTTTACAGATGGAAAAACCAAAGCACAGGATGGTTATAAATAACTTACCCAGGATCCCACAATTAGTATGAGACCTTTTTAAAAAAACATTTTAAATGAGTAGTCTCCCCTCAAACATTCTATCCTGAAATCTGCATAAGAGCATTTGTAGATTTTTTTGCTTCTGAAAACACAGTTACTCTACCTAAGCAGGTGACATAAATGCTAGACTTTTTCAGCTGTGTTTGTCTGTCAACTATAATACTATAATCAGGAAAACATGCTTTTGAAGTTGCCTGCGTGTGTGCTGAGTCGCTTCAGTCATGTCTGACTCTTTGCAACCCCGTGGACTGTAGCCCGCCAGGCTCCTCTGTCCACGGGATTCTCCAGGCAAGAAAACTGGAGTGGGTTGCCGTGCCCTCCTCCAGGGGATCTTCCCGACCCAGGGATTGAACCACAGTCTCCTGCGTCTCCTGCATCACAGGCGGATTCTTTACCACTGAGCCACCTGGGAAGCCCTTGAAGTCACCTACACGTGTCCACCAGGCATGGAGCACATATGTACCCAGATTCTTACCGTTCATCTTTGAGGCATATGTCAGCTGTCTTCCAAGTGTTTAGCAAAAGGAGGAAGAGTTTTCCTCCCTCTTCTTTTTAATCAGCATTAAAGGAAGGAAGGAAATATTGGAAGGAAGGGAATATTTTCAAGCACTTGGAGTTTTGTCAAGTCCTGGAAGACCAGAAGATGCTTAGTGTAATGGATTGAATTGTGGATCCCACTAAAGGTTTGTCCATATCCTAACCCCTGGGACCTGTGAATGTGACGTTGAAAAGGGTCATTGAGGGTGTAGTTAGGTCAAGACTCTTGAGATGATATTCTGAATTATCGAGGTAGGCCATAAATCCAATGGCAAGAGTCCGTATAAAAGACAGAAAAGTAGGACTTCCATGGTGGGCCAGTGGTTGAGTCCACCTGCCAATACAGGAGACGTGGGTTCAATCCTTGGTCCGGGAAGACTCCACATGCAGTGGGGCAACTAGGTCTGTGTGGCACAAATGCTCAGCCCACGCATCATGATTACTGAAACCCGCCTCCTAGAGCCCACGCTCCACCAGAAGCCCCCACGGTGAGAGGCAGAGCAGCCCCCACTTGCTGCAACTAGAGAAAGCCTGGGTGCAGCAATGAAGACCCAGCACAGCCATAAATAAATGAATAGATGCCCCCCCTCCCCAAAAAAAAAGAGAAAAGGAGAAGATAGAAGGAGGAGAAGGCCTTGTGAAAACGGAGGCAGCGACTGAGGTGATGTGCCATACATAGCCCAAGGAATGTTTGGAGCCACTGCAAACGAGGAGAGGCAGGAAGGAGGGAACATGGTGACTAGGGGCTTCTGGGGCTTCCAGAGCTATGGGAGAATAAGTTTTCCACTGTTGTAAAGTACCCCCGTTTGTGATAATGTGTCATGGAAGCCCAAGGAAGTTAACACACTTGGGGAGGTGATTTTTACAGACTCATCGGCCACTTTTCTGATGGAGCCACAGCACTTGCTTGGCTAAGCCGTACTGCTCACCAGGTCATGAGTATGAGCCCCACAGCTCAGCCTGAAATGTGAACAGTAAAATAACGTCAAGATTGCTGATGAGTTGGCTTTCCTGGGACATTCCTGCCATATTTTTCTGGAAGTAGTAAAGAGTTCCTGAGGCTTTTTCAGTTTTGGTATTTATGTGTATGGATTCAGTTAAAACCAGAAAGTCCTGCGTCTGGTTGTCCTTTAAAGCATGGCCTCACCCTCCCTAACCCTGTGGTGTCCATGACCTCATCCAGAAGGTGAGGGCATTTTCCCACGGGATCCTCACACACGCGTCCACTCAGCCTTGGTGCAGACTCGGCATCAGTCAGGGCCGGCACATCATGAGCACACTCTCCACACCTGAGAGGGAAGCCTTCCGGTCGCGTGCCCTTTGTGAAGCCGGGAGTCTTGTGTGATGACGTTCCAGTTCATGAGGTCTTACCCTGTGTGAGTCTGCAGGCTGGACGGAGCTGCTGCTTGTGCTGCTTCTGGAGGAAGCTTCTGCTTCTGCTTCTGCTTCTCCGCTGCAGGGGTCTGACAGGGAGGAACATGGGGAGGCGGGCCCGTGAGCCGGCCCCGGGTCCCTGCCCTTGTGTGGCATGAGGTGCTCTGGTTCCTTCGCTTGTCTGATGGACCGGCTCCTCCGGGAGGCCGCAGGCATCGGGAAGCTGGTGGGACCTGGATCAGGTCTGGTGAGCTTCGATCAGACTTGCTGCGACGTGCACTGCAGATGCCCGTGAGTGCGGTCTGTTCCTTGATGGCCTCTAATAACGGGCCTGTCAGGACCTGTGCTGCTGTCTCTTCCCGCCTGGTCACCTCTCCCCTCCCCGTTTTCTGACTGGCGGTTTGAAGTTACAGCCCTGCTCCTGAATATACCCTGGGGTGCGGTGGTCACCCCTACTAAACTTCCCATTTCCTGCCTCATCAAATTCAACTTTGCCAATTCCACCAGTTCTCTTGACTGCCAACAGAGCAAATGTGGCTTCTTTCAAGGAAGACAGTAGCTGACGATTGGACCACCTCATGTGAAGAGCTGACTCTGGGAAAGTCCCTGATGCTGGAAAGAGTTAAGGCGAAGGGAGAAGGGGACGACAGAGGATGAGATGGTGGGATGGCATCACCGACTCAACATGTGTCTGTTGAGCAAACTCTGGGAGACAGTAAAGGACAGGGGAGCCCGGTGTGCTGCTGTCCATGGGGTCACAGAGTTGGTCATGACTTAGTAACTGAACAACAGCCAAGATCAAGAAACAAAACAAACTTCTCTTTCTTTCGTTCATTCATCTACCCCATCGTCCTCCCTTCCCTTTCTCTCTCTCCCTTTAAAGAACTTTACTTGAGCCCCTATATGTCAGCTGGGGGCTTCCTTTGTAGCTCAGCTGGTAAAGGTCTGCCTGCAATGCAAGAGACCCAGGTTCGATCCCTGGGTCGGGAAGATCCCCTGGAGAAGGAAATGGCAACCCACTCCAGTATTCTTGTCTGGAGAATCCCATGGACAGAGAAGCCTGGTGGACTGCAGTCCATGGTGGTGCTAGGAGTTTGGATTAGGGAACTTGAAATGGTTAGAGATCCTGTGTGCTGTGCTGTGCTTAGTCATTCAGTTGTGTCCAACCCTCTGCGACCCCATGGACCGTAGCCCGCCAGGTGACTCTTGTCTGTGGAGTTCTCCAGACAAGAATACTGGAGTGGGTTGACATGCCCTCTTCCAGGGGATCTTCCCAACCCAGGGATCGAACCAGGGTCTCCTGCATTGCAGGCAGATTCTTTACCAGCTGAGCCACACTGTAGGCAGGATTTGCAACCATGTTTTCCTCAGGCTTTGTAGGTGGACAGAAAAGCTAGTGAGAGTAGAAAAATAGAAGAGAGTAGCTGAGATCCAAAGGGTTCTCTCCATCAGTTTACCCAAAAGGGGCAGAAAAAAATGAAAAGTGGCATAAAGCCATCAGAAGAATGGAGCAGATTTTCTCTTCCCAGCAATGCTTCTTCCTGCTCCCTTCCTATCTCAGCCAGAGATTGTGTTCCTGCTCCAGAGAACTCCAGGAAGGAAGACAAGGCCAGTGAGGCTCCTGGAAGTGGCTCTCAGTGTGGTCAGAGCCTCCATATGACTTGTGAGGGCCTTGTCCCTGTCTGCGGGATGCTGGGACGCTCCGAGGTCGTGCCGCTTTTCACGTGGAGACATGGTGGCACTTGTCTACTGAGCTGGAGACAAGCACACAGATCTGCTTTTTGGGAATCGGGACACTGTTGCTGCCCGTGAAGATGTCCCTTTCCTCCTCTGATGGCAACTTACTTACTAGGACAGCAGACCCCACACCTTGGCCTTGTTAGTTTCATGTTCTATGGAGCTAAGAAAACAGAACCAGGAAGCTGCTTTAAAAGGGACATCTCTTACCCAGGAAATTCCAGCAACTTTTAATCTACATGTAGATCATTTTCAAAATGGCACTTTGTTCAGAATTGTTATCCTTTATTGCACAGGGCTTTTCAGTTTGAATCACTAGAATCACAATAAGGAAAAGAAAGAGGAGAAATTTGTTTCTAAAAAATTTTAAGCAGAAAATTCTGTAAGCTTTCTCAAGAAGACTTTTTTTTTTGCCTGCTACTACCATCTAAATAATGGCATTTCCTTAAACTAAAATATTTGTAAAGCTTTTCGGTTTGTTCGGTTTCTTTTTAGAGCAGATGGTCTGAATGGCCTGAGTCTGTCCCAAGATGGTTTGATTTATTCTTCCAGAGTTGCTGACACCTTAGAAGGATAAACAGCTCAGGAGAACGCGTCAGTGGACTCCCTCTGCTATATTGTCTCTGCTGTCAAAGAGAGACCCCCAGGAGGCCCACTAGATAAAGGCTGCCACACCTTCCAGCTGTTGGGCATTCTTATCATCCCAGGGTTGTCATCATTAAGGGCAAGGGGAAGGAGTTGGAAGCGAATTTGTCAGCCATCCAGCGGGATCTCTCTGTGGATTGAAGAATGTGGGACCCTTACTGCACACAGCCTGCGTGCCTGATGCACAGTGAGGTCAAGTACAGAAATGTCAGAGTTTGGAGCAGAGAAAGGTTTGTTTTGGGGCCAGGCAAGGAGACAGGCGGCACATGCTTAAAAAAAGCCCCAAAGTCCTTGAAAGCTTTCAGCGAAGCCCTTGCACTGGGAAGGTGAGGGAGTGGTGTGGTTAGTCGTGGCAAACTTCTTGGTGTGGGATTCTTTGTTTTTGCAGGATCCACGTAGGTCAGGCCACGGTCATGTTCGTACAAACCTCCATCAAAACAAGTGTTATTCTCTGTTACGACAAGAAAGGGAAAGGGAGGCACTAAATTGTGTCCCCAAGCCTCTGTGCAGCTTTTAACACTTAAACCCCGTAGTAAGAGAAGCAGCGTCGTCACCCCTCCTTTTGCTTGTTCAAGGTCCAGAGCTCGACGTTCGCCCTCTGAGGTCCGGCCCCGGCTGACGGGAGGGTCCCTGTGTGGGCAGCACGCTCCCGGGAGCCCTCCTGCAGCCGCCTGGGCCCTCTCACAGCGCCCGGGACCCGCCGCGGAAGCTTACCTCGGCCGGCACTGCCACCGCAGCCAGGCCCCCGCACCCTGCCGGCCGTCTTCACTGGGGCACCCAGGTGCCCGGGACCCAGGCGGCTCCTCTGGCCACCCCGACAGGGCAGGTCTTGGGGACTGTGACCCAAGGTGACCGCCACGGCGGCACCCCTGTGATGCCAGTCATTGCCAAAGCACGATCGGGAGCAGCCTCTAGCCAACGGTCACGGGCTCACGGTCACGCACTAACAGCTACCCACTAATGGCCACCTGCTAACGGACGCCTGCTAAGTCACGTGCTAACGGATGCCTGCTAAGTCACGTGCTAACAGCCACGTGCTAACGGACGCCTGCTAAGTCACGTGCTAACGGATGCCTGCTAAGTCACGTGCTAACGGGCGCCTGCTAAGTCACGTGCTAATGGCCACGTGCTAACGGACGCCTGCTAAGTCACGTGCTAATGGCCACGTGCTAACGGACGCCTGGTTAGTCACGTGCTAACAGCCACGTGCTAACAGACATCTGCTAAGTCACGTGCTAACGGACGCCTGCTAAGTCACGTGCTAATGGCCACGTGCTAACAGGCACCTGCTAAGTCACGTGCTAACGGACATGTGCTAACAGGCACCTGCTAAGTCACGTGCTAATGGCCGCGTGCTAACAGGCACCTGCTAAGTCACGTGCTAACGGCCATGTGCTAAGTCACATACTAACAGCCACATGCTAAGAGATACATGCTAATGGTCAGGTGCTAACGGCCACAAGCTAAGGGGCACATACTGCCGGGTGCTAACGGTCATACTCTGCCGGTTAAGGGCTGACTGCCAGGCACCAGCTGTGTGCCCGCCCCACCGAGTCACAGTGCCAGCAACAGCCTGGCTGCGGGAGGGAACAGATTAAGTGATGAGACTGGAATGTAATACCTGCTGCAGGAAAAATTACCTGCTGCTTTCTCTATTTAAATAGAAAGCAGTATTTAGCATCTTACTGTTCTTTTGAAGCTAGGGCCTCAGGGGAGGATGTCTTAGACCACAGGGTTCTGCTCATCTGCAATGGTTATGGTTCCACATGGGTCTGTGAGGACGACAGTGTCTCCTCCGTCCTACGTCTCTGACCACTTCCAGCGGGTCTGTCCAGTCTCCCCAGCAAGTTCATGGAGGATTGCCCATCTTTTGACAGGAATCGCAGTAAGAGACCCAGAGCCATGAAGGCCATTGGGATTCTCTGTAGGAAGAAAGCATTTTGAGTACATTTTGAAGTAATAAGGGACATCAAACTTGATATAACTGTTAACCCGAGATATTTTAAAAGTAGATTATTCTCCAGCGGGAGACCTGGGTTCTTTCTCTGGGTTGGGCAGATCCCTGGGAGAAGGCATAGCAATCCCCTCCAGTATTCCTGCCTGGAGAATCCCATGGCACGACTGAACAACTAAGCACAGACATAGTCTCCAGCTTGTAAGGTCTGGCTTTTTAAGAGGGCTGCTATTATCTTTGCTTTTGTGCCCCATTGGTATCATTTATTGTTGATTAATTCTTGGGGCCAGACACAGAATGAAACTTTCCACTTGCTTTTGAAATTCAAAAAGGGCTATGATTATTTTAATGTGTCTGTTTTTCAGACTTAATCATCCTGAAAGAAAGAAAAGTGAAGTCACTCAGTCGTGTCTGACTCAATGGGATTCTCCAGGCAAGAGTCCTGGAGTAGGTTGCTTCAACAGGGGATCTTCCTGACCCAGGGATCGAACCCAGGTCTCCCACATTGTAGGCACATGCTTTACCATCTGAGCCACCAGGGAAGGCCACAATCACCTGAGTCTTGTTCAAATTTGGACTTTTTTTTTGCCTACTTTTAAGTTATCTACTGAAAAAAGATATAATAGCGTTACTAATCCTGTGAGTTGTCGATATTTACATTTCTGAAACCTAGACGGTGTGGGTGTGTGCTAATTCGCTTCAGTCGTGTCTGACTCTTCACGACCCCGTGGCCTGTAGCCCGCCAGGCTTCTCTACTCACGGGATTCTCCAGGTAAGAACACTGGAGTGGTTGCCAAGCTCTTCTCCAGAAACCTAGACTAATAATCTTCCTTATTTCTAAGTATCCTTTGTAATTGTTTTGTTTAATCCTTTCGCAAAGATTTACCGTGTTCCTCTTGTCACTAATATTCCAGTGAAAGCGAGAGATACATGTAAACGAATACTTGGGTTTTCACGATGTATGTGGCCTAACTTAATATATGTCCCAAGCGTTCTGGGCGCCCAGAAAGGAAGCTGATAGATCCTTTCAGGAGGAGCGATTGGGGGAGATTTCACAGATGTCATATTTGAAGTAGACCTGCTGGGAGAGTTATTATTAACTTGGAGGGGTTTAAGATGCATAGATAGCAGTAATCTAGGTAATAATCTGGGTAAAACTACAATCTGACAGGGACAGGGACAAGAATTCTGTTTGGAATCTGTTGCAGGCTTGTTCCATTGACTTGACGCAGGGGGTGTGGGATGGAGCAGGCAAACACAGATGGCGGGTAATTCTGCTTGAATGTTCAGTGGATGTGAGTACCTTGGTTTAGGTTTTTAAAATACAGAGGAAGAGGGCAGAATATTGAATTTTCTTTTTTAAAAACCTGATTGATTTTGTTTTTGGCTGCACTGGGTCTCCTTGCTGCCTGCAGGCTCTCTGTGGCTGCGGCGAGCCGGGCCTCCTCCAGCTGGGGTGCGTGAGCTGCTCTTGCAGCGCGTCCCTGGGTGCGGAGCGCGGCCTCCGGAGCACAGGCGCAGTAGCTGTGTGCATGGCCTTACTCACCCCTCAGCGTGTGGGGTCTTCCTGGACCAGGCCTTGAACCTGTGCCCCCTGCGTTGGCAGGCAGGTCCTTAATCCCTGGAGTACCAGGGCAATCCAAGGTGTTGGGCTTTCTTCTTGTTCAGTGTGAGACGCCCAAATGCAAGCCTGGGGCAGTCCCTCCTGGTTTGACTAATCAAGTCTTAGAGAAAAGTCCTGGGCCAAATGCAGGTACATATGGGAGTTCATGGCATGTAAGATCTTGTGTGAGCTAGTCCCCAACTGTTTCCTCTGTTATCTCTTGTAACTCATCTCTCACTGTCTTTTTCCAGACCTGCTCAACTACACGCAGCTGTCTGCTCTTTCACTCTGGTTTTTACCCTTCAAGGTGCCTAAAATACTCTTTTTCTGAAAATGGGGAAAAAAAGCCAAACAAACAAATGAAAAAGAAAACAAAATAACTGTCTCTTAGTAGGAAAATGATCAGTACACTGGCTTACTCATATAGTGGAACTCAATTCAGTAGTTAAAACTAATGGATAAGATCTACATTTATCAACATGAATAAGAGCCTAATATTGACTAAAAATAACCAAGTTAACTGAATATGGGGCTTCCCTTGTGGCTCAGCGGGTATAGACTCTGCCCACGATGCAGGAATCCTGGGTTTGATCCCTGGGTTGGGGAGATCCCCTGGAGAAGGGAACAGCTACCCACTCCAGAATTCATTCTTGCCTCGACTGTATAGTCCATGGGGTCGCAAAGAGTTGGACACAACTGAGCGACTTTCACTTCACTAACTGAATATGTACAGTTTGATAGCATTTTTATGTATCATGTATCACACATATGTAGTAAATACATATATAAGTAAAAAAAAAAACAACTTTATAATGTTGAATCTTCTCATCCATAGACATGCCATATCTCTTCATTTATTCAGGCCCTTTTTGTGCCTGTCAATGGAGAGTCACTATTTTTGCATAGAAATCTTGTGCAATTTTATTAGCATCCAGTCTCAGTCTTTCTTGTAGTCCATCCTAGACCTGGATCAAAGTTTCTTCCCCCTGGGAGACTTCTCCCACTTGTACCCACGAGGAGGGCTGAGGTTTTCCGTACAGTCTTTAAGAATGGAGACGGTGTCTTAATTATAGTGGCGTTTCCAGTGCTCAGTCAGGGTCTGGCGCATGGTCAGGTCCTGGCCCATACTGGATGAGAAGCTTAGGGGTGATAGTTGAAGCCAGGGAGCATGTGAAGGTCATTATGAAGACAAACAATAGGGAACAACCAAGGGGCTCAGCCCCAGAGGGACGTTTGCGATAGGCCACAGAAAATGAAACTCCCAGAGTGACGGGTGATAAGCAAGCACCATATACTGGTGTCCCGAGTGGGGCGTCTCTACAAGTCCAGGCTGACAGCCGTGAGCAAGCCTGGTGCGTATTAATCTTAAATGGGAAAAGAGTCATTCCAAGCACCTAAGAAGTGAAGGAGGCAATGATTCCTACCTGTGAGTGGGTTGAATGGAGCTGGTCCACTGTGTGCACAGACCTTCCCCTTCGGGCCAGCAGGCACAGCCAGCAGCTGTTTCTGTTGCGGTCTTCAGCTTGCTCCCTCCCTGCTCTGCCAGAGCAGCTGGAGGTCTTCCTGGTGCCTTCATGAAGCACCCTTCCCGGGGACGGAGGAGCCTTCACGAAGCACCCTTCCCGGGGACGGAGGAGCCTTCACGAAGCACCCTTCCCGGGGACGGAGGAGCCTTCATGCAGCATCCTTCCCGGGGCGGAGGAGCCTTCATGAAGCATCCTTCCCGGGGCGGAGGAGCCTTCATGAAGCATCCTTCCCGGGACGGAGGAGCCTTCATGAAGCATCCTTCCCGGGGACGGAGGAGCCTTCACGAAGCATCCTTCCCGGGGCAGAGGAGCCTTCACGAAGCACCCTTCCCGGGGACGGAGGAGCCTTCATGCAGCACCCTTCCCGGGGACGGAGGAGCCTTCACGAAGCACCCTTCCTGGGGACGGAGGAGCCGTCATGCAGCATCCTTCCCGGGGACGGAGGAGCCTTCATAAAGCATCCTTCCCGGGGACGGAGGAGCCTTCATGCAGCATCCTTCCCGGGGACGGAGGAGCCTTCACGAAGCACCCTTCCCGGGGCGGAGGAGACAGCTCTGCTTCCCTGTTTGTTCTCAGTGGTCCCACTGACCTTGGCCTCATCATCCCCCAGCCCATTACTTCCCAGATGGGTCTGAATTGGTCCCTTGAGCTTTGAGCTATTCCCAGATCCTCTGACTGCTCTTCTCTCAAAGTGGAAA